ACAGAATTCAAAGGCATCAGTGAATCTGGTGAGTGAAAAGAAACGAACACCAAGGGCTTCCTGAATCTCTTCAGAAGTCATTACCATTACCATTAGATATTAAGCTGTTGTTCACCTTAATAAGTACAGCATAACAGGAAAAAAAAAAAAAAAGTGATAACCTCCTCCTTTTTCTATTTACCAGACAAGGATTAAAAGTCTCAAAACTAGGATAAAGCAGTTGGATGAGAAAGCACTCTCCCTACTGAACAGAGCATTGTCCATGGTAATTTTAAGGTACAAGTCTCCCTGATTAGTAGTGCATCTTTCTGTGGTTTTTGAGGATTGGACAAGTTCTGTACAGTGAGAATTAATTTTCTGGTGTCTACCTTGGTTTTAAATAAACAGGAACAGTAATTGTTCCTTACATGAAGAATTAATGCATAGTAAGCTCTTAAACAAATAGTCTAAATTCAAAAGCATACCACAGAAGACTCCAACCACATATAGGCACAATTAGTTTATTAGCACTATTTTTGCAACAAATATACTCAGGTACTTAAACACAGTTTAATTCATGTTTATTTCCAACATCTGGTATATTACCGTATATTACATAATTCATTGAATATCGTAGTAAATAACACAAACCAGTGTGCAGATAAAGCAGCTAGGTCAGTTTTCAGGATATCAGGAAGGCCAAAATCACACTAGCAGTATAAGGACATTAAGTTGTAAATTAATAGTATTTAGCATGTCATTCTATCATTGCTATAGGCATACTAGTCCAAGTGATTCCTCTGAGAGTTGCATATAGTTATCCACAAAAGAAAATGGTCCTCGCCTTAGATTACATTTTGTAATCTTTTTTTATTTCTTACCTTCAGGCCTGATCCTGCCAGTCCTTACTCAGCAAAGCTTCCAAAGAATCTACCAGGTTAGTTTCTTACTTTTTGTTAGTCTACATTAAGCCCATTGGCTCTCTCAAAACATCTGAACACTAGATGGAATTGGAATTTGAACTTCTAAAAATTCTGAAATTCTAAAAATAGTTGTAACAGAAAGCATTGTAGTTAAGTATATAACTAACAGCATTAGGGCCAAATTCAGGAATAGACCTAGAAAGAAGCCTTAGGAACTGTCAAGACAGCAAGGCTGGCATCTGGTGAGTTAGGCACTTTCCTGATTAGTCAGCTACTTTCAGGGATCACAGTTTTGGATGTAGAACACTCTTTAGTCTCCTTAAATACTGTTTTGAGCACCTACATCCTTGGTTTGGATCTGAATTTATTTTTATACTTGAATAAATAATGTGTCACATTGACATTATGCACAGACATTAAGATAACTGACCCCAAAGAAAAGCAAAATATTCATACACCATACTATCACAGAATGTCTAGAAGAAGCTGTTGTTCTTTTCTGTGCTTGGGTTAGGCACATTTGTTTTAACAGCTTTTAACACTGTATCCCCATTTACTATTCTTACTGTTCTAACTGCCTTTTCCTAAACTTGTGCTGAAATAAATCATTGCTGTCTTCATCCTCAGCCTCTGCTACTATCTCCATTTTTTGTATAATCAGTTTAATGAGGTCGTGTTGCTTTTCCAACAGGGTTGATAGATCTTTGAGCCTAAAAGAAGATTAAAAAAAAAAAAAAAAAAAGAGAGAGAGAGAGAGAGAAAAAAAAATGCATAAAAGGGGCTTTGCCATTTGGTTTCAAAGGACAGATACAAAAGATCTGTCAGTCCTCAATTTCACCTTCTGCTAATTATCTCTGGAGTACATTTGATTTTTTAAGCTGTGGTACTTTTTCCAGGTTCCAAGAAATTATATTAAAGAACAAATTTATGGATCGTGAGATAAGTGACAATATATTTAATGTAAGAGAAGTCTCACTCTCAAATAAAGTAAAATTCTGAACTTTCTTCCATAGTTCTGACTCAATTAATATGGCAAGGAAAAAAAGACCAGGTGTGCAACAGCAAATAAGCATTCAGACACCTGGTGGACTTCACAGCTACTTTAAACAGCACGTGTCAAACTGATGAGACACATACTAATTTCTTTAAAAGTGCTATCCAAAGTGCAATCAATTACAAATAAAAAGCATCATTTAGCATCACACATACAGAACACATTATCTGCTAACTTTTAAGGAACAATGGAATAAATAGTAAATGTGTGCAGAAACTTCTTTATGAAAGCGTGAAGCAGTATTTTTAAAATTCTACTTTTTAGAATTCACAAAATTACAGCACAAAGTCGTACAGAGCGTGACTGAAAAGACTCTTTGAAGAACACTTTGGGGTTCTTTCGTTACTGTTGTATTCATGTGGGCTATCAATCAAGTACCATAAGAATTAAAGTAGTGTAACAATTAGCTAGCATTAATGAAAACAAAATGAAACAAACAAAATGAAGAGTGTAAATACTCGGTGCTGAGTGCCACTAGCTTCAGCAGAAACTGAATGCTGTTTCGAAACTCTGACAACAAAAACATGTTGGCAACACAGTAAAACGATATTTGAGACATATTTTCGGAGCAGAATTTTCCATATGTGAAGTGGCCACAAGTTATTCCATTCCAATAATTCTATAATTATAGAAAATATTATTTTTCTTCCCTCTTTGTAGAAAAACAAAGAGTATGTTCTATGCTGTTTTGAATACACTGATGTGGCATAGACTTGAAGAAAGACTTGTTAAGTTCCATGGCTTGCCAACATCTGTAGGGCGTATCCACAGCCCCTCAGTTCTTGCTGTGTCCTACATGCTTCAGTCCTACATACTTCATCAGATTATGTGAAGGGCCAAAAAAAAAATCAGTAGATTAAAAGGAGAGACAGAATGAGCTTGGGTATGGAGGCAGGGGGAGGCATTGATGGGGGGGGGATAGAGGAGAGAAAAAAAAAAATAGATTTTACTACTAGCTGTACATTCATGGAGGCTTTCTCTGAAACCATCCTATGTGATGACTTGGACATTGGTAAGATAAGTAAGGAAAAAGTATCAATACAGAGATTCTTTCCAGGGTTTAGGAACAAGATGATTTGTCTGAAGGAGGAACCAGGACACAATCAATTTTTTGGGAAAAAAAGCTGAAGCAGATTTACCATCTGACCACTGCAATGTCAGTTACAGATTGTGTGTATCCTGCAAACCAACTGGAATTACTTTAATTTTAATTTTAGTGTAGCTCTGGAAAACCTCCATATCCAACCTCTGATTTTGAAATGAAAGTTCATTTTCCTCATTAATTTAGTTCAGTTTTAATGTACAATCGACCTCCACCTCCTTGCTTGCCATGGGATAAAAATATTTCTCTAACCCTCAAGTATTTTGAAAGTAAATACATTACAGAATATAAAATAAAATACTAAGTTGGCCATAGTGATTGAGCTTATTTAAGGACAAAAGATACACTGGATTTTACTTTTCAGGTGTAGCACTGAGTTTTAGAACACTACATTTAAATAATATATTTGTTAATTTCACTGTGCTTACTGTAATAAAGTAACACAATGAATACCTGTATTTCTGCTTCAGAAACTTCCAGTTTCTAAGGTTGTATCAGTGCTCTGTGCATCTGTGGTAGAGTCCTCACACCCAAAGCAATACTGGAACACACTCTAAAACAAAACAAAGTACAAAATGAAACCAGATTTTATAGTCTGAAAACAGATTAAAAATCCCAAAAGGGTGAATGTTAACAGTTTCAACACACTGTTAAAAGTTGAAAACAATTTCAGTTATAAAGTTATTTTTAGTATATTCAAACATTTGTTTTGCAAAATGTGTTTAATCAGAAATTATTCATTCTACCAACAACAGTTGAATTAAAGTAAACAAATAAAAGAAGAAAATGCCAAAAGGGAGTAATTACATTTTCAGTCTGAGTGACTTCTGTAGCTTGTCTCATCTCATAATGTCACAGCTCACTAAGAACTCAAACACTAATTATATTTGAATAATTGGGCTGCCACTCAAACTGAAGACTTGACTGTTCATTTTTAGTGAAGACAATCAAGGTTTAAACATGCTTCTAGTGATATCAAATAATGATCAAGTCTTATTAATACAACATTGCCAGCAATCTGTGTACAAATTAAGTCAATCATAACACATATAAATATGAAATCTTTAGTCTAAGATTCAACATCTTACCATAAATCCACAGTATCTTGGTCTGTTAGGATACACAGTGATTGATTCCTGGTTCCACCCGACTTAGGAACCAAAATGGCAGCTTCTTCTCTAAGTTTGTGTGAAGATAACCTAAACATTATTTCGCATTTAGAGTAAGATATATTCTCTTAAGATAACGACACATTACAATATGAAAATAACAATTATGTCATTACATTCAAATCACTATTACTCGATATCAAGTCCTAGAGGATATCTACACTGCACACCATAGTATAATATTTGATCTGTGTAGCTCAGACACTAGATAATAACAGTATTAATAATAATTAATAATAACTAGATAATAATAATTATTAATAACTAGACACTATTCATAACAGTATTGAGATTTTTTAGCAGAGTTAAGTATTCCACAGTTATGCACTCTTACAATTAAAATGTTTTGTTTTTGTTTTTGTTTTTGTTTTAAAAAAAAACTGAGTTAATTCTTGTGAAATGAATTGAACATCTTTTTTACCTTGAGGGTTACAGTATAGAATTATAGAGCAAAAAAGTTCAAAGACAGAATACTTATCATAGCAACAGATTTTGAAACCAAATAATGAGAGTGATCTTTCTCTCTTTAACTGTGCTATATTCTTTTATTAGGTTCTGGCAGAGCCAGTATAGATTAGGAGACCAGTAGAATGCCTGTGAGTAAAGTATTCCCAAAGGTAAAATGAATATGTAAGTGGCCTTTTCAGCAGATGTCACCTTTCCATTCATTCTCACATTGCTACAGAAATACTAAGCATATGTATCTAAAAGAAAAGGACATACAGCATGAGCCTTTAAGCAGACAATCATAATCCTATCAAACATACTAAATGTTACATGCTTAATAAAGATTTCACAGCACTGTCTAAAGTGGCAAGACACCACCATTCCGAGCATTCTGTTGGCAACAAAATACTTAACAGATAAAAAATATTAACTGCCCTTATAACTTTACTTCAGTCATTTTTATAACTCTTGGAAGGAAATGTTACATATTTCTTCAAATATGCTTGAACTAAGCCAGTACGGCACACAATTGTAAGTTATGTAACTACCAGCAGAAGTTACTTCTGAGTTCTTGTCTTTGGATATTCTGTCTGTGCACACATCTCTCCTTTTATAGGCACTATGTAGGCTCTGAAACTTTCTAGAAAAAGCAGAGCCAGCAGGGAACATGAGCAAAGACACTTCTCTCTGCAGCATATGAACAGCCAGTTTCTATGAACACATTGTGAGAAGCAATATTTACTCTTTAGGTTGACAGGTGTATACTTAGCATATTTCCACTTGTGAAAAATCAAGCTTGATATGCAGTTCACAAGGAAAAAAATATATGACAAATTTTGTGTTCTTAAAATAAATGTAAAAAGGCATATAAATTATTAAACTCTTCTGCTTTTAATGCAAATTCTGTTAGATGTCTACATACGTCTTAAGGTATCTAAATACACTTGTAAATGTGACCCTAAGCTCCTTAGTTATACCTGGCATCGCAGAGTATCTTCTTGGTCCACAAACCACCATGAGCATTCAGTATACTGCAATGCGTTTGGCTTCCTTTTGATTCTCGTGTACTTTGACCCTCTTTTGACTCACCTTAACAGTCAACACTCCAATTTCAAACAATGCACTTATTCACTTTGACATTCTGTTATTGAAATAACTCAAAATTAATTGATCTGGCTCTTCTAATTCCTTTAAAAATGCACTTGCTTACATATGCCTTTTTGACAGTGACTCCCATGATTGAAAATAAGGTTAAGTTAGGATGCCCATGTTCAACAATTTGCTTTATAGAGATGTTGCAATGTTAGTTAGGGATGTGATGATAAATTAGTTAATTATCTTGATAGTATTCTAGTTACGCTATCTACTTCCTATAGTTGTTGCTTCTATGGTATGCTACTCACCTGCATTGCAATCCTTTTGAGGTGCAGCATATTTTTGCACTTCAGCTATGTCCCCAACAGCCAAACCAATCTAAAAATACATCACAGGATCAAAGAAACATTTTATTGTGTTTTTATTGTTGTATTTCTCACTCACATTTAAGTCCAGATAACTTGAAAGTTAAATTTGCTTACTTGAATCTGGAAACACAACTCCTTTGTGCATATTTGAAAAATACATATCAAGAAATGTAGTAAGCTTTTTTAAAGTCAACTGTCTACTACTAATAAAACAATGTAAAAGATTTGTCAATAATAAAATCCCTTCTTCTATAATCCATGATTGCTTTTATGTTAAGAGAAAAATACATGTTAACCACTGATTGAATACTATCACTGTGACAATAAATAATCTAAGAAAAAATAATTGATCATTAATGCCCATCTCTTGTGAAACCCTGATTTACTAAATACAATAACTGATGTTCAATGGAATATGGCTGAAAGTTATTTAACTATTATTATTACTATTATTATACATGCATTTTATTTTAGCCCTTTCTCACTACGTATAGGTTTTCCAGTTCATTTTGTTTACTTAATTTTGTTTACTTACTTTACTCTCTCCAACATGAAGTTAGACCAAAACGTGCAAATGTTGGTCCAGAATCACCCCAGAGCACTAAGCCTTAATTCTTACATTTTTTCCACTGTCAGTACAGAGTCAGAGAAATGTAGCAGAGACCAGAGGGACTATGCCTCAGCAAAGAATAAAAATAGTGCTTTTCCTATTCTAAAGTGCTTCTAATAGTGCTACTGCTTATTCTAAAGTTGAACCCAGGAAATGGGGAAGACTTTCTTGAAGCTCAGCAAATTCCATACAGTTACTACCTGGTACAAGATAACTCTACAATAATTAACTGTACAGTAACTGGAGGAAATGTGAGTCAAGGGAAAGGCAACTTTTTAATATGTTACTAAGAATGTCTATTTGTTAAATAACGAATGAATGTCACAAGTCAGCAGTAAAGTAATGCTATATGCCAAAAACTGTGTATAAATATATGCATAATCACTTCTGTATATTGAGAAGTAGTTTACTTACTAGCAAGTTCATAAGAAGGATTGGAATAAGCAAGGTAAATATAATGAGAACTGTGTAGCTCAGGAATGGATACGGCAATTCACTGCTCAGTAATGGATCAAGAAATGCATCATGATAATTTATGTCTCCTAGCATCATTGCAAATGTTTTCATTACAGAAAGCAATGGCGTGCTGTATGTTTGCTGCAAAAAGAAGAAAAAAAAAATCAAGAAAATACCACAAAACTATGAAATTTCTAAATAATCTCTTGAAATTATTTATTCAAAGATAATATTTATAATGATAAAAAGTTAACTGTGCCATTCAACTAACCTGTGAACCCAAAAGGACAAAGAAACTCAGTCCAAAGGCCAATATCAGGAAAAAGAAAACAACAGCAATCCTAATCAAAGTCCTCAGAATTTCCCAGAACATCACAACATAAATGCCATAATTTTCAAACCTGGACAATAAGTAAACAGAAAAAGATAAGCAAAATTAAATACTGAAGTTACAGTCTCTTACAGTTACATTACAATTACAGTCTCTTATATGCAATACAGTTAAATATGAAATCAGTTATCCTACTTTCTATGTGTGATAAGAAACATTTCTCCTCTGGACATTCTGAGATGGTCTAAATATTTTGTATTTTCACATGCAAAAGAATGTTCTTATTTATGGCAAGATTAAATTACAGATCTTATGCTTAATGCACTAGAGCTGCATTTCAAGATAATTATTTTTCATCAACAACTTTTACTCTGTCCATAGTCACTGAAAGTACTATACTGTACAACTTGTTCTCTAAATATTAGGAAATTGTTTTTTTGTGTGTTTTTTTTTTTTTTTTTTTGCTGTTTTGTGAGGCAAATTTGCAATTAGAACAAAGGACAACTGGCACCATTATACATCTAGTAGTCATACACCTGATTTTAAAAGATTTTCTTTTTATGACACTAGAAGTCATGGAAAACAAATGAGCAGAAAAAAATATTGAAATATTGCTCAGTAAGAGAAGGTGAGTAGCACTATTTTAAGTCACCTGTGTTTCTAACAACAGTCTGTATGCTGGCAAGGCCCCTTCCATTCCTGGTTTACATGAAAACCAATTCTCAGAACATGAACTGTTTTCCCCAAAAAGCAGATTCAGGGACCAGATAACTTTTAATGCTATGAAAATAGCAACTGAGGAAATCCCTTCATGGGGTTCCTCCTCCTCCCTCTTCCCCCCAATATTATTTGCAAGTCTGAAACATCAAACTGGAAGTAAAGCAAACCTAATCTTAATGCAAATAAATTTGTATTTATTAGATACAACACCACTGAAGTCAACAGAACTACTTGCTTTGAGAAGAGATGGCCTGACTCAGTTACAGAAATGTCTTGTAGAGTACCTGTAAAGTTCTACCGACATAAGCAGGGAAGGGAAGCATTTAATCTCACAAATGAGGTAAGGTTGGGTACTTTTTACTGTTTAGGTTCCATACTCATTTTTCCCATTGAACACAGCCAAGAAGAGAGGATAAGCCATTCACTAGTCATCTAAGGTCAGACACATGCAAGGCAAGGTTGTCAACAGAGGCAATATCATAAAGAGACAATATCTTTATGATATTGCCTCTGTTGACAAATCTTGTCCTCAAACATCCCAACTACAGTAAAATGCTGTTAAATTAATTAGCAAATGGATGTTTGTCTATCTGTCAAACCACATGGAATAAGAGTCTGAAAAGCATATATGCCGGGTTATCACTTAGATTCTTTAGCAGCTCAAAACACTATTTTTTTTTTTCCTGTTTCAGCCATATGTCATCTTTATGCAAGACACTCCTGCTCAGGTACAAACATGCTTTATTAGTATTAAGCAGTACATCCACCCTATTTTTCCATCTTCATAACTCTCCTTAAGTTCATGACTCTCAGACACCACTGTATTACCTGTATGATTGGGGTCATTTATGGCAATAAATAGACAATGTCAACTAAAGAAATAATTTCACCCATTGGAATTCTTTTACAGGACATCATGGTGTAAAAAAGTGGGGTGTGCCATTCTCTCTGTAAAATGATGGAAGATATTACCCTCCCTCAGGTGTTGTAACAACAGATTGTTGTTCTTTTGCCTCCTGTAATTTGCATTCTTTTTTTGTGATGGTATGTATTTTTATTTTGGGTTGTGTTTTTTTGTTTTGTTTTGTTTGTTTGCTTGTTCTTCAAGTTGAAGTCTATATAGTATAATAAAACACGTTTTTAAAAGACATATCCAGTGACTTTGCTCGCTTAGCATTAAAATAAGTTTTATTATTTCTTATGTTTCCATTACACACTGTGATTCCATACATGAAGAGCACAAAAAACTACTTCACAGTTCATAAGTTAAAAAAATAAAATACTTTAAAAAAATCCTATGATCCTAATCTGGAAACTTGTATAGTTTAAAATAAATACATAAATTAAAAATAGGATTATCACATGATAAGTTACACTCTAGAATTTGTAAAATATTGAAAGTATTAATTGTAAAGCTTGTAAATAATTTTTACCGTTGAAGGTAAAGCAAGAAGTTCATCCAAGACAAGTATACAGCAATGCTCCACATTCCCACTGCAAATGAGCTGGTGTATTAATAAATAAAGAAGACACAAAAATTATGCTTGTAGTATAAATTGTCCAGTCCAGTAGATTGGAGTAATCCAACAAATATTTCAATTTCTAGGATTTAAGAGAGAGATGCATATTTACAAGTCATGCATCATTAAAGGACTGAATTGAATAACAGGTTTTAAATCCTTTTCTCACTTATAATCTCATATATAGGAATAAATTCTCTTTCCCTTACAATTAGAGAAAAATCAGATATATTTCAATATAATACAAACTGCTATGCACATGATTGTGATTGATGTTATGCATATATTTCTTTATGAACTTACCTGCTGAATGAGCTGAAATATTTCTTTGCAGATTCCCAGTAAACTCATAATTAAAACTAAACACATACACACCCTTGTGAAGTACGAGTCCTGAAACAAAAAGCAGCACAAAACAAATCAGAAATTGTTAAATGTTTATTTTTGCTCTACCTACTATATATACATTATATTGCCAAGTTAGGATAGTAATAAGCTTATCTGAAGCAAACAAACAGACTAAATTCTATTTTAATAATGTTTATTGTGAAATTCATGTAATATATATCATGTTTAATGCAAACCAAATATTAAAATTTGCACATTCCAATTATAAACCATTGCTGTGCAGCTTCCTTGTTACTACTGTTCAAGATTGGGATCTGAAATTGCAGTATTTATGCCACGTTTTTTTTGGTGTGTTTTGCTACTACATGAACATAAAGATAAATTCTATGGTCCATAACTTCACTATCATATTGTAGTGTCAGGAATAACAACAGAAGTCTTTGGAAGACACACAGTTTGGAGTCCTGGCATACTTATGTGGCTGCTCCCTTTGACATCTCTCTTTACAATTAGTATCAGCAAAGCCAACTTTATTGTGAAATGCCTTATACTGGCATAGATAACAGGGATTTTTATCTTTAATAAATAAATTGTAAGCCAATTGCCACCAGAGGTGTTGCTGCAATACATATCAGCTTTTGCCCATTGTGCCCTCTTTAACCTGGATTCAGAGAACAGTACCATGTTCTCTAATGCTGTGCTCCCCCTCAGGATCTGGTATTCCTGGCTTCATTCCCATTAATAGAATCACTACGACGCTGACTCCTCCCCACTGCATGACATATGCTGGTGTTGCTTTAGTCTCTTCAGGCAGCAATTTCACAGCTCCTCATCAGTAACCGTGCTTCTCCACCAGTTGGCATCATTCCTCACTGAAGGATAGAACTCCCTCGTCCAGTTACATTCTTCCTGATGTAAGAGACCTGTTGGAGGTCTCTTCCAACCTAGGTGATTCTGTGTTGCGGTCCTCCAAGCTGGGATACAACCACCTGTTAGTTTGGCATAACTGAATTTTGTGTTCCTTGCACTAGCTGTTCCGTTCACCTCCTCTTCAGAGACAAGGACACGCATCTGCTTTCACGCTCCTTCATTAGTAAACAAGCCAGGATAGATTTAAAGCAACCTTTCTTCTCACGTCAGTAAGATACCTGCCTTTGATTTCAGTGAAAATTCAGGCCCTAGCACCTGAAGTTTCTTCTGGATGGTGTTTCTTCTGTATAGGGGTAATTTCGTTTCCCTGTTTAAGACTTACAAGGACGTAGTAACAAAAGCAAAGGCATAAAACAGTCCAGGAGGCATAGGCTGCTTTTTGAGCCTGCAGCAGACTATAGGTATGATATTATCATTTCAGACAAATACAGTCTACGTAACGTGAACAGTTTCAGCATGTTTGCACTCTGCCAAAAGCCAGAAATGGGACCTTCGTTTTATGACCAGATGGAAAAGAAAAACAACAATGACAAAAATTAAGAGAAGGAACTTTTCCTTCACCTAAAGTTTATTATTTTGGCAACTCCTTCAGGTGTCCACAAGGAATTATCAACACCCCCTCCCTCTCCCCCCTCCCCCAAAAATAGAGGGGACATTGTGGCATAGAGGTATAATTTCAGTTCACACCCAGAAGACATTCTTCTCACTGAAGTACAGCTAAGCCCCACAAAGCAATCAAAACAAAAACAAAACAAAAAAAGCCAAAAAGAGATGTATGTACGAGTTAGTTTTACGTGCTGGCATTATTTCCTTGTCTGGTCTCGCATTCATGACAAGCTCTATCTGGGGGGGGAAACGTGTAATGCCGTGCAAGGTTGTTTGTGGTATGAGCGACAAACATGACTTTAAAATTTGAACTGTTTGTATAGAAGCAAAGTACAAAAGAGTACACTATCCCTGAGGGCAACGTAGAAACTACCTGTTGCTTCTCATGTTTAAAGTTAAAAGGTGTAAGCAGCTGTTTTGAGTACCATACTGACGTCTACATGAACATTTTTCCTCTTCCAATGTCCCAAGTTGGAGTGCAACATTTTTCATCATGCTCTCAGATCAGGATTCTGATTCTAACAATGGTTCCTAGTGCAAATTTCCAGAGAAGGGGGAAGGCAGAATCACAGAATCACAGAATTTCTAGGTTGGAAGAGACCTCAAGATCATCGAGTCCCACCTCTGACCTAATGCTAACAGTTCCCACTAAACCATATCCCTAAGCTCTACATCTAAATGTCTTTTGAAGACTTCCAGGGATGGTGACTCCACCACTTCCCTGGGCAGCCTGTTTCCAATGTCTAACAACCCCTTTTGGTAAAGAAGTTCTTCCTAACATCCAGCCTAAAACTCCCCTGGTGCAACTTAAGCCCATTCCCCCTTCGTCCTGTCCCAGGAACATGGGAAAATAGACCAACCCCCACCCTCGCTAACAGGCCTCCTTTAAGTTATCTGTAGAGAGGCAAACCAGTCCTGACTGCTTTGAATGAGATGGAGAGAGCAAACAACCGTAGATGAAGAAGATAAAACCTGTAGGAATGTTTTCAGATAATTGCCACTGTCCAAAAGCTTTAGAGTGGGTTGAATCCTTCAAAGTTTCATTACTGAAAACTCCGGCAGCATCACTGAATTTGAAGGAGTAAGATAGACTTGCCACCATCGCAGAGGCCTCAGCCACAGTTTAAATGGGGCACTGCCTCTAACTTCACAAGAAATGAAAGAGAAGAGGTCATCTTCTACCTTGTCAGCTACTGGCAGAACCTAGAGAAAGAAAAACCAAGAAATTGTTAACATTAGGATGTAATGCTTTTTTTAGGACATCTCACCAAAATGTGTAATATTGAGCAGTACCAGACAACAAATGAAAGGGAAGAAGAAGGAGAAGAAGGTACTTGCATGGCCTTAATTTCCGTGGCAATTGACAACAACCACAATCCGCAATGATTTCTAAGTGCCTTACAACCATTGACCCTTGAGGCACAAAAAATGGGATTCCCACATTAGGTAAGGGGAGTACAATCCCTCTCAAAACACGAGAGTCTGGGGACCGCGACTGAGTACTGAAAATCTTAAGGCTAGGATGTTCACGTACGCAGAAAGGAAACTCACATTTTAGCACTAAACAACTACCTTTCGAGGCAGGCTGGGAACCGGTTCTTTTTAACCCAGGTTCCATTTCAGGCATCTTCAAAGCTAAAGAAAATGGTTGACTGCTCTGTTGAAATTGTGCTCCAGGCAGAAAAGACTTCACATTCCTATTAAACAGAAAGAGCTTAATACCTTGCTTCTATCCTAAAGATGAGTTTTGGATTCAAATGTACCCCATCCAAGATGAAACAACTACCTTAACTTGTGGGGTTTATATTCTGCATAAGAGATTTGTCAACGTCAAGCTTCACGCTTCTCCTCTGGATGCAGGAAGGAGGCTACAGATGTAGAAAAGGGGTGAGACAACTTCCAAAACTAAATTGCAATTGCCACAAAACTAATGTAACGTATCCCTTGCAAGCACAGAAACTCCTTTGCAAAGGAGTTAAGTGTCTGAAGCACTTTCTCTCTTGACAATTGTGATATTATATTTCCCTGCATTTCCCAATTCTTTCCTTTCTAACTAGATGGATGCCAACATCTTATGCAACAGGCTCAGACATTCTCAAGTTGTCCCTGCACAGAACTACATAACTACATATATGGTATGGAGATGCACAGGAGCTCTCTGTCCACCTCATGAGCTGAGGTACAGCTTGGTAACCACCCTCTATCTTTGTACAGCTCAGAAGATGCTGCCTTCATGTAGCACACTTACAGTTGAATCAAAGATTTTCTCTACATTCCGTGCCATCCATAATAGCTTTCCCTTAATTTCAAAAGAGATCAAACTCCACTCTCCTTCTGTCAGTAACTCTAGGGTGGGGGTTTCATACATTCCTACACTTTCTCCATTTACTACTGATGCTTGGGTCTAATTTCTGGCCACACCTGCCATCAGACGATTGATATAAAGATAAATTCAATTGCTTAATACTATTGTTGCAAACTTTCATTACACTGACAGATGAAGTGGGTGCAAAGGGAATCAATCTAAAGGAAAATTTGCTCTGGTTTCTTCTCTAGGGTCCTCCAACTAAGGGTGTTCTCTCACCTCCTTTTTCATTTTTTTTTTTTTTTTTTTTCTCTTCTCCTCTAGCTGCATGCTCTACTTATGGGCATAAAGTTAGAAAACAAAATCCTAAGCAGTTAGGATGACCATCTCTTTTGATTATACAGATTTCTATTCTCATCAATAGATGTAGCTCCCAAGGTTTTTAAAAACCTTATTGGCTGATTTCAGTGAGGGTTTTCTCCTCTACCCATCCTCTACAACACATTTTACCACACAGCAGGTATTGCCTGCTATGATATGGCTATGCTTGGCTCTGAAGTGTTTTTCACAGCCACATCTTCAAGATGTTGCAGGTAAGAACATGGCATCATACAGCAGAGAAAGGAGAATGCAAGGTTATTTCTTTGGAGACAAAATGAGAACCATAATATAATGTCGGTTTATAGTGCAGCTTTGTCTTTGTTCCAATAGCATAACATCACACAAAGGACACAAATATGCACACTGCAGAGTTTGAAGGGTTAT